GTCTATTAAGATTAAGGTCTAGTCTCTCTCTCTCTTTCTCAAACCCCCCCCTTGAAGAAGGCACATCAGCTAAAAACTCAATTGGGCGCTTGATACCAAATATAATTATTACATGCATTTTCAATCTAATTTATTTATTTTTATACAATATTTATACAATATACTGTGGGATAAATACCATGATTTGGATAAATATGCACACATTGTAATACATAACAGTATGCATTATGCTAAAATCAGTTAGTTTGGACATAGCTTATTGTATTCATCGCAGTGGCAGAAAGGGACCATCTAGATGATATTGACAAGGAGCTATTGGAAAAAATCGAGAAAATTGCCCGAGGAGAAGATGTGGAGCCAGAGAAACAGGTCACAATTTGGGATTTTGCAGGACAGGATGTCTACTACACCACGCACCAAACGTTCCTCTCAGAGCGGATCATCTACTTGTTGGTATTCCGACTTGACCAGGACCTCGATGATAAAATCCGTGTATACAGGGGAGAGAAAACGTTGAAAGGTATTGTTGAGCTTTATATCATATATATATATATATATATATATATATATATATATATATATATATATATAACATTGAGTTTTTAGTAGCATTAATTTTAAATGGTTCCGATGAGTGTTTAAGATTTTAATATTGTAGTAATTTTAAGGATTTTAGTTATATTATCCATTGTAAGCCGCCCAATAAGAAACATTATTATTATTATTATTATTATTATTATTATTATTATTATTATTATATTAATTGGAGCTATTTTTTAGCAATGCTGAGGAGAAAACACTGATTAATATTCATCTTTGCAATAACCTCAAGGCTTTATATGTATTTTTCAGAGTTTATTATGTTTTGGTTAAACTCAATCCATATGCACACTATTGGAAAATTGAGGGAAGAAGACAAAAATGCCATGCCATACGTCTTGATTATTGGAACTCATAAGGACATGTTATGCCCACAGGTGAAAACGCTTTTCTTATCACAATTATTCAATTACTACCATACTTATTCTATGTATAATTTGTATCCCTTCAACCATATCACATTGCGATTCCTGATGAGTGACTTAATTGTACCTCCAGCGTAGGCACTGGCGGTACCCATGGTTTTAGTCCCGACCCGTATGTTCCGCCGGCTCCTGCGGCTCCGCTGGCTCCTGCGGCTCCGCCGGCTCCTGCGGCTCCGCCGCCAAGTCACCGTTACCGCTTCTCCTCCTAGACGGTAAGGGCCCCTGTACCCATCTCTTGGATTTAGGTCACCTATAATCTCAACTCATTCCAGGTAAAATTTGGGCTTTGTCAGTATTGGGGTCTAGGTGTGGCACTCATTGCAATGCACCCTTGTCTAAAAATGACAAAATTAAATGCTTATTATCTACCCTACGGAAGGAGTTATGGGAAAAATTTCTACAGACAGCTTTCCAAAATTCATATGTGTAGATTTCAAATATGCCCTTGGATTTGACCTTTGACCTTTATTTCAAGGTCAAACGGGCCAAAATTTTCAAAAAAATGAAATTTTTTATGAAAAAAAAAATTTTTGCCCTGTTATTCAGACACCACACAGACTTAACCAATAATATTATTGGAAAATGTTACCCTTCGGGTCATCTTTCATCTCCATGAATTTGGGGTCAATCGGTGCATTTTCTTGGGAGTAGCGGCCATAAAGTACCGAAACTGAAAACTGTCTCTAATTCGGGAACCGTTAATGCTAGAGACCCATTCTTTTTTGCATTTTGTAGAGCATGTAAAGGCCAACACTGGATGTGGTCTCCGTTTTTTTGTATTCCATACGGTTTTCAAGTTACGCTGTATCAAAAAGGACATATTGGTGGTGAAAGCAAAATGTACAGTACGGTAATGATAAANCTGTTGAAAAAGAACTGTCAACTCTTAAGGACACGTACTGTCCCAGTATGCAGTTAGGCTTTTGCATTCGGTTAAATGACAAAGGAAAAGATATTCCAATAAAAGCAGAAGACGTCCAAGAAAACGATGAGATATGTAGATCTGTAGAGGGCACTGAAATGCCAATCGATGTGACACCGTATCGTGTTTGGTTTTCAGGTAAGCATTAAAATTTTAGGTAGTTTTACTGTGAACAGACATTATGTTCCTGAATATAATTAGGGGTAATGTAGTCATTGAAATCGGTGATACTTAAACTGATGTAAATGCAACTAATCATATTGGGTGATGTACTATGATGTACATGAAGAGAATTAATATTTCAAATTGTTGCCAATAAACCAAACTTTATATATTTTAAAACAATGTAACTTGATAAATACCCAAAGGTGTTTTTTATAATCCCCGAAAATGATATCTTTGCAGATCTTATCAGCATTTTTCCCCTTGGCAAATTTTGCACATCGCCTTTGTTAGAACAGTATAAATATCACCCACAAAATCATGCAATTTATATTTTAATCATTCCAACAATACGAGCTTTACATGGGCATCAACGTCTGTGTGAGGGTAAGACTGTTGCAATTGAACATTTTTCATATAAACTGTCCCATATTAGATTTATTACCCAGCCATGCACATCGCTAGAATTGTTTTAACTTTTAATTTAAAAACAAATGCCCAAGCACATCGCTAGAATTGTATGACAAAAATAAATATTATGCCCTGGTCGTATTTTGAGAATTTACCTGCAGTGCAGAAGGTAAATGTACAGCAGGTTACCTTTTGCTCACAACACATATCTATTAATAAGTTTCTTCATACTTAAATTACATGTATATTATTAATTGCTAATTATGGTTCATCATGCGCATATTCTTGTAATCCTTCTTATTTTTACAGATAGTGCACAGGCAGTACAAACAAGTGATCCAGGTAATTTTGTATTTGGTAGTGCTTAGCTTAGGCTAAGAAGTACGCGCATTATTCTTATTTTAACTTCTATTTTTTTTACTTTTAACTTACAAATCTTCAATATAAAGAAATAGCATATATTGTTACTAGCATGTACCCCCTGTTCATATGACAGTACATTTTACTGACTACATATTTCTCCCATAATGCAGTGGTGGTTGCCGTATATTTTACACAAACACACACACACACACACACACACACACACACACACACTAGTATACTACTCTATCTCTCTTTCCCTATAAAATTCTTGTACAAAAAGCATTGATCATTATCATATTTTTCTATTAATAGGTGCGAATGCCCCAGATGCGTCATCTATTTATACACAGAGGTTTGCAAGGGTGAGTTATCTCGTTATTGAACTTGGAACGAAAGTCATTAGAACTTTCTTCCTCAAGGATGTTGTTAGGCCTAGCATCACTAATGGTGAGCACATCAGTGATAAAGATGCAGTGCTTCAGTTTTTTGGTAAGCATGATGTGAAAATTGAACTTAAGAAACTCAAGAAAACAAAAGTCATATATGCTTCTCAGTGGACTCTGTTGTACCCTGCCTCTGGTCATACAGATGTGGAAACGTTTGACATTACATTGCTGGTGTTATTGATAAGAAAACTTCACCCAGACAAAGCCAACCTGAAATGGTCAGCCCCCCAAAAAAATGCCACTTTACCTTCCTCTCCACAAACAACACAAGGTTTCATTGACCACATCCAACGGCTTAAAAATGTCAGGAACTATATACAGCATTCCGCCAAGTATGAGATCCAAGACATGGAGAAATTCTACACGAATTGGGAAATTGCCTGTGCTTCTGTTCTAGCACTTGGTGCAGATCCAAATGAAGTGGAAAAGGCACAGAAATCCATCTTTAGCATACAGGAGATAGATACAATAGTGTGTGAAATACGCAGCTCGGCCGAAGATAACAAACGGCATTTCAACAACAGATTTGACAGGCTTGAATTATTAATATTCTCTGTATGTGCCATCCTCATTGTGTTAGCCATAAATGACAAGAAGTGGATTTAGGTGGGGAAGGGGTCAGGGGGATCCTGGTTTCTGAAAAAAATCACACTAGTATTCCCCTTTTGAAATTAGAATTTTGACTAGCTGAATTATAGTTCTAAATAGAACCAAATGATACCATTCGCCCTATAAAGTATCAAAATTTTTCGGGGCCTAAAGTGGGCCTTTGAACCCCATGCCAGGGTGGTGTGGCTTGGCATACGCGCCCCTCCTCCTTCAAATAACTCTGGATCTGCCCCTAAATTACCGTAAGTGAAAGGGCGAGTTGAGGTCCTTCTTAAGTTGTACATGTACGTGGCATATGTGGATGGTCCAATTTCAGATTGAACCTTCGAATTTTCACCCAGTAATATTAAACACAATTAAAGCCTAGATTACATTTACACAGGCGCCGTGTGATGAAATTGTCTGTACGATTTTTTTTTTATGTACAGACACAGATGTGTCTGTACATATAGCCATCATCTGCGTCTGTCGTCGCCGTCGGTGCCGTCGTCGCCGTCATCGCCGTGCACTTTTACCGAGAACACGATAAGTGGAAAACCATTTTACCTTTTGACTTGAAACTTGCAGAACTGATGAATATTCATAATACACAGGTCAAGTTAGAAAATCAGCATGATCGGATCACTTTTAGGGAATTTATGCTGTTTTTTCACTTTCATAAATGCAGCACCGATAACACGATAAGTGGAAAAACATTTTACCTTTTGACTTGAAACTTACAGAACTGATGAATATTCATAATACGCAGGTAAAGTTCGAAAATCAGCATGATCGGGTCACTTTTAGGGAATTTATGCTGTTTTTTCACTTTTTTCAGCATATATGCAGCACTGATAACACGATAAGTGGAAAACCATTTTACCTTTTGACTTGAAACTTACAGAACTGATGAATATTCATAATACGCAGGTCAAGTTCGAAAATCAGCATGATTGGGCCATTTTGAGGGAATAAATGCTGTTTTTTTCACTATTTTCAATATAAATGTAACACTGATAACACAAATTAAGAAAAACGGATTGGCCAATGGTAATTATACTCACAGTAGTGGTCAATCTTACTAAAACCCAGGTTGAGTTCGAAAATCAGCATAATCGGGCCATTATTTTAGAAGTTATACTGTTTTTCACATTTCCTCAGATTCAATTATTAGGCATGTTAACAGTCTCATTATTTAACTAATAAGATGCCTAAAAGTGTTTGTTTGATATTTCCTGCATCTTTACAACATTGTTAGTTGATTATGTAAAAAACATGGTAAACTTGTTATCATGTATTGTGTAATAAAGTGTCAAAAATGGAAATAAACTCATATCATTGCAGTTTGTCAGATTCAATCATCCACTATGTTCAGAATCTCAGAATGGAGGAAATTGGACATTTAACACTGTTCTATTGATACTTTTCCCATCTCATCAATTTTCTTAGTTGGTCATATAAAATGGCAGTAAAATGTTTATTTTGTTTTATGTTAAAAAAGTGTTAAAAATGGAAATAAACCCATTTCAGAACAGTGCTGTCTTGTTTACATTTTGGCATTTTCAAGGCGTGACTTTGAAGTTCCATGGGCCTGAAGACCTTTGCTAGTCACATTTTCTGAATATCTGTGAAACAAATATTTTATAATTAAAAATTGATGGTCATTAAGCTGTTAAACATTATGTAATATTGCATCAAAATTTGAAGAAACCCCTATTTTGGGCACTGCTTCCATGATGACCATTTAAGGAAAATCATGTCACTTACTGTTCTCAAACTTACAGGAAAGAAACATGGGACTAAAATACAGCTTCAGTAGGCAATGCAGTCTGTTTGGTATTTTTATTTATTTATTTATTTATTTTTTTGGCAGTTTAACAGTTTTTTGTGAAAATTTAATTTTTCACATATTGGCATTTTCAAGGTGTGACTTTAAAGTTCCATGATCTTGAAGACTTTTGCTTGTCACATTTTCTGAATGTCCATGTTACTAATATTTTATTAATAACATTTGATTGTCATTATGCTGTTAAACATTATGTAATGTTGCATCAAAATGTGAAGAAACCCCTATTTTGGGCACTGCTCCTATGATGACCATTTAAGGGAAATCATGTCACTTACTGTTCTCAAACTTACAGGAAAGAAACATGGGTCTAACATACAGCTTTAATTGGCAACAC